ACTATACCAAAACTCAACAAGTGGTAGTTTCTGAAAAGTTGCAATATGGAATCTGAAATCATATTATTGAATGTGTTGGTCTTTTGATCTTTTGCCCAAGCATGATTTATAACATGCATTGGTGATTTGAACCAATTAGTTCATTGTGTTATGCAGATCTCCAAATGTTAACATTTTATTATACAGTAATCTCCCCCCTAAAAAAGTAAAAGCCCCCATTTGTTAAAATTACCACTTATTTCATTAGAAAATAATTAATGGGAAGTTATCAAGCACTTAAGTGGCAAAAATGTTTTCCAAAATTCTAATTTTCACTCAAAAACTTTTACCATTTGTTTTCCTTGAAGTGAAGAGCTATTTTGTTCATTTTTGAGAAGATGTCTGCTTTACCTAAGTCTAAATAGCCAGTTTGTCATTCATTCTTTATATAAAAATTGTGTTTTCATAAAAAAAAGCAGCTGGTTCAGATTGTGACTCAATCATGTAATTGCTTTTTCTCCAGACAGTATCTGTTGGGTGCAGCACTCAAAATATTAAAAAGGCATGTACACAGTGATCAGGATTTAATAAAATGAATAATTTTTGCTGCTTCATAAAGAACATTCTTAAACGAAACTGGCTACCCCCACCCATACTGTGGGTATGTGGTAATGAAGAATACAATAACTTGTAATACAGTTTGGTGCTGCCTTTTGCCTTGTTTCATTCCTGCTAAGGCTTCAGCAGTGTCTACTCAGCATTGCTTTTACAGTGCAATTGTCAACATGGTGCCAAAAGTAAATATCATCTTAGTATTATTGTGAAAAAAGTATTGACCTTCACAAATGACTTGAAAGAGTCTTAGGAACACCAGATTTCAGCCCACATTTTGAGAACTGATGCATACTAGACAGTTGTGGTGGTTTAAAAGAAAACATTTAATTCTCTGAAGAATGAATTGCAACTCATATTTTTACTTACGATTTCAATAATTGTAATCTTGCCTCTGAAATAGAAAAATTTGCCAATTTTTAATAAAAGCCTGCACAAGATGCATGCTTGAATTTATATTTCTGTGCTTCTTTATTTTAAATAGCATACCATTTTATAATTGTGGGCCCAGACTAAAGAGCTCATTCTATTCAAACACTGAGTAGCTTTGTTTCTGACAGCAAGTAGTCAGCTTTCTGTTTTAAAACAATCAGTTGGGTCCTGCTGGCTCAACTTGCAGTTGTCCTAGACCTAACCCTATCTCAGCCAAAGACTGGTGCTGGAAAGCCCACACAAAGGCCTTGTGTAAGGGAGTCCTGCTAATAAGGAGGGTGTTCTAGTCCCAGCAGATTAAAGCTGCTTTGGTGTGCATTCCCTTCCCAAATTTCTCATTCATTTCCTTTGTTTGCCTGGCTATTTCAGTGAGAGATCATTTTTAAAGCCTTTGAAGATAGTTTCTTCTGATTATTACATAGTCTGAGTGGAGGGGATTACTGGAGTAAAATGTTTCTTTCTCTATGGTAGGATGTGATGGAGCTGCTTGAAGAAGATCTCACGTGCCCAATTTGTTGCAGTCTGTTTGATGATCCGCGAGTTTTGCCTTGCTCACACAACTTTTGCAAAAAATGCTTAGAAGGGATCTTAGAGGGGACTGTGCGGAATTCCTTGTGGAGATCCTCTCCATTCAAGTGCCCTACATGCCGTAAGGAAACTTCAGCTACTGGAGTCAATAGCCTGCAGGTTAATTACTCCCTGAAGGGTATTGTAGAAAAGTATAACAAGATCAAGATCTCTCCCAAAATGCCAGTGTGCAAAGGACACTTGGGGCAGCCTCTCAACATTTTCTGCCTGACTGATATGCAACTGATTTGTGGGATCTGTGCTACTCGTGGTGACCACACCAAGCATGTCTTCTGTTCTATTGAAGATGCCTATGCTCAGGAAAGAGATGCCTTTGAGTCCCTCTTCCAGAGCTTTGAGACCTGGCGTCGGGGAGATGCTCTTTCTCGCTTGGATACCTTGGAAACTAGCAAAAGGAAATCTCTACAGTTACTGACTAAAGATTCAGATAAAGTAAAGGAGTTTTTTGAGAAGTTACAACATACATTAGATCAAAAAAAGAATGAAATCCTGTCTGACTTTGAGACCATGAAACTTGCAGTTATGCAAGCCTATGACCCAGAGATCAACAAACTCAACACCATCTTGCAGGAACAACGAATGGCCTTTAACATTGCTGAGGCTTTCAAAGACGTGTCAGAACCCATCATATTTCTGCAACAGATGCAGGAGTTCAGGGAGAAAATAAAAGTAATCAAGGAAACTCCTTTACCTCCCTCTAATTTGCCCACAAGCCCTTTAATGAAGAACTTTGATACCAGTCAATGGGAAGACATAAAACTAGTAGATGTGGATAAACTTTCTTTGCCTCAAGACACTGGCACATTCATTAGCAGGATTCCCTGGAGCTTTTATCAGTTATTTGTGGTAGTCATTCTGCTTAGCTTTCTTATTTTCTTTGGTCCCACCATATTTCTAGAAGGGTCTTTATTTGATGAATTCACAAGTTGGAAAGACCATCTCTCAAACTTCAGTTCCTATCTGACTAAATCAGCTGATTTTGTAGAACAATCAATGTTTTACTGGGAACAGGTGATGGATGGGTTTTTCATTTTCAGTGAAAGATTTAAGAATTTTACTTTGGTGGTGCTGAACAATGTGGCAGAATTTGTGTGCAAATATAAACTACTATAAAATCTGTTGCAAGTGTATGGTTCTCTGTCTTTTGTTAGAAATTTGTTAAAGAGCTGAGTGGTAGTTCAGATTTGGTCAAGATTTCAGTCAGATATCTTCCTGCAAAAGTATTCCTTTCAAAAATAATGTCCTATACGTGTTGTTCAAATTAGGTAGCATAAAGATAAATGTGAGATTTGATACTAAGTCCTGAACCCTCCTTCCTTTTTAAATAGTGCTTTTGTAATACTCCTCCTACCCCCAATATTGGTTGTGTTTTGCTATGGAAAAGAGGTGAAAGAAGAGCACATGATCTAATATTATGTAAATGAGGTAGTGTAACAGTGATTGTTCATTTAAACATGTAATAAAGACTACTCTTGTAAAGCAACTTTTTTGGAGACTGGACGTTCTTTTAAAAAAGAAGATATGGGTGGATTGGACTTCAAATTTTTCTAGATTTGGATTTCTAAATTTTACGTTTTTGCTAAAATGTAAATCTTAGGTAAACAAAAAGTGGCATTTTTCTTTCAATAAGTTTACATTTTTAGGAGGAATCTTGCCTTTTTCTCCTTCGGTTGTGTAAATTTGTCACCAAAGGAATTCAAAGGAAATGTTAGGTGGCTGTGCAAGCAAAGGTGTAGGTAAAAAAAAAAAAAAACAACAAAGTCTAACACATGGCAAGAACAGGAAATGGGAAAGCCTTCTTTTTATTGGCAGCTAAGTGTCATGTTGTTCCAAAGTATCATGGCAACTGTACAACCAAACCATCCACTGCTTAACATCTTTTTAAAGAGTAGTAAGATTAATTTGACAATAGATGGAACAATCTTTCAGCTATTATAAAGTGCAAAGTAATCAGCTAAAAACAAATGATTTGTTAACTAGAATTTAAATAAAAATTAAAAAAAATAGCAATACATACATACATACATACTACTGAGGGAAAAATAAAACACTAATGTTCACATAAGATAAAGATACCGCCCACAGATTTTTTTTTTAAGAACTAGGTAGTTTTTTAAAATTTATTTGAGAGATAGAGCAAGAGCAAGGAGGAGAGTCAGAGGGAGAAGCAGACTCCCCACTGAGCAGGGAACCCGACGTGGGGCTCAATCCCAGGACCCTGGGATCATGACCTGAGCTGAAGGCAGATCCTAAATGGACTGAGCCACCCAGGTGCCCCCTACCTCCCACAGATTAAAAATACTTGCTTAGAATCCAGATGAAAACAAGAAGTGATCTCATGTTAGAACTGCTCTCTAGTCCCTTATTTCTGTCATGGAACAAGACATTCCTTGGAAAGCCCAGAGTGTCTTTACCCTGCCCTTTAATTTGGTTGAGAGGAGGCAACTAAATTTAAAGAACAGAAGAATCCACCTATGGGAATAAGAGTCAAATTAAGCTGCTAGTTGAGGTAATGGCTGCCTCATCCATAACTGACAATTCATGATTTAGCCACTAAATTGCTAAAGGGTTCATAAATTATGATAATGTTTCTCTGTAAATCTTACTTCTGCCATGACAACTCATTGTAGATAGGTCTGGGGAAAGAGGAATGTTTTTCTGCTCCCACTGTTTTTTTTTTTAAAGATTTTTTAAATCTTTAAATATTTTTTTAAATCTTTAAATTTTTTTTTAAAGATTATTTATTTGAGAGAGAGGGAGCAAGAGAGAAACAGCATGAGCGGGGGGAGGGGCAGAGAGGAGAAGCAGACTCCCCATTGAGCAGAGAGCCCAATGTGGGGGCTCGATCCCAGGACCCCTGGATCATGACCTGAGCTGAAGGCAGATGCTTAACCAACTGAGCCACCTAGGCACCCCTCCCAGTACTTTTTTTTTTTTTTTAAAGATTTTATTTATTTATTCATGAGAGACAGGGAGAGAGAGGGGGAGAGAGAGAGAAGCAGAGGGAGAAGCAGGCTCCCAAAGAGCAGGGAGCCCAATGCGGGACTCGATCCCAGGATCCTGGGATCATGACCCGAGCCGAAGGCAGACGCTCAACCATCTGAGCCACCCAGGCGCCCCCTCCCAGTACTTTTTTTAAAATAGAGATTTACGGGGCGCCTGGGTGGCTCAGATGGTTAGGTGTCTGCCTTTGGCTCAGGTCATGATCCCAGGGTCCTGGGATCGACCCCTGCATCAGGCTCCCTGCTTGGCGGGGAGCCTGCTTCTCCCTCTCCCTCTGCCTCTCCCCCTGCTCATGCTCTCTCTCTCTCTATCTCTGTGTCTCAAATGAATAATAAAAAAAATCTTTAAAAAAATAAAAATAAAATGCAGATTTATAATAGGTTTTCATGGATATATATATATATTTTAAATGGAATACAGGAGAGGGATCTACTTGACATCTATCCTTAGAAATATTGGCCGTTTTTCTTAAATAATCCAGTTCCTCATCTGTTCCTTTTTCATTGTGTATACTGCAAGTTTCCAAGCAACTCAAATTTGCAAACACAGCTATGGATACACTATTTGCTTTACAGTAGTTAGGAGGGAATCTGGGTCTCTGTTTTTTGTTATTTTCCCCTCCCCTCCATTTCTTAATCATATATAACTAGCAACATTTATGGCTAGAGTTTGATTTACAAGTTTCTAAGTCTGTAGCCTCTAGTTTGAAGAAAAGAATGAGTAGTCAGGAACTGGTCACTTTGAACGTTGGAGGGAAGATATTCACAACAAGGTTTTCTACCATTAAGCAGTTTCCTGCTTCTCGGTTGACACGAATGATAGATGGCAGAGACCAAGAATTCAAGATGATTGGTGGCCAGATTTTTGTGGACAGAGATGGTGTTCTATTTAGTTTCATCTTGGATTTTTTGAGAACTCACCAGCTTTTATTACCCACCGACTTTTCAGACCATCTTAGGCTTCAGAGAGAGGCTCTTTTCTATGAACTGGATCCTCTGGTTGATCTCTTAAACCAAGAACACCTGCTACAGCCAAGACCTGCTCTTGTGGAAGTGCATTTCCTAAGCCGAAACACTCAAGCTTTTTTCAGGGTGTTTGGCTCTTGCAGCAAAACAATTGAGATGCTAACTGGGAGGATTACAGTGTTTATAGAGCAACCTTCAGCACTGACCTGGAGTAGTAACTCTTTCCCTCCTCAGATGACCTTACTTCCACTGCCTCCACAAAGACCTTCTTACCATGACCTGGTTTTCCAGTGTGGCTCTGACAGCACTACTGATAACCAAATTGGAGTCAGGTATTTTGTACTTTGAAGTATCTCTCTTCTATATCAGTTCCTGATGTTTCCCCTCAAGACTGAAAGTTTCTCATGGCTGAAACTTTTCTTGGAAAAAATTATTACTCAAATGTTTTGGGGGTAATAAGTAGAGTTGAGTAGAATGATCAGATAATTATTGTCCAAACTGGGCTATTTTTCAGAGTGAAAGAGGGTATTGTTATTATGTGGGACAGTAGGAATAAACCAAGACTGTCCAAGGAAAATTGGAACTATGGTCATTCAAGTTGTAAGAGGAAATAATTTTATAGATTATGTTCTATTGCTAGTGAATTTGGCTTAAGACTGAGACAACACCTTTCTTTCCCCCAAGAGATTCTTTTAGTGGCTGGCATATGGTAAAGTCTCAGTAGTTTCTCTTGATTTCCTTACACTCTATGTATATTTGTTCTTTTAGTCCTTATGATTTGACTACTGATTTTCCTCCATCTCACTTTATTTTTAAACACCATTAAGGCAGATATATCCCATAGCTAATTTGGTATCCTATTACATCTTTGGCACTCTTAGGCAACTCAAAATATTGGGATAGGCTGTCAGTATGTTAAGGATAGTTGCTCCTGAGTCAATTATTCACTTTCTCTCCCTGTTGTTCTTGGCTGAACACTAAGGCTGATTTCTACTCTGCTGTCAGGGACACTTTTTTTTCTCCTTAAAAATGTCTTAAAGCTGTCCCACCATTATTTTACTAACTGTGAAAGCTGGCTTTAATTTCCAGGAGGAAAAAAAAGTAGTCTGCATATGTTCTTTACTGATACTATTTAAAATGTTTTTTTTTTTTTTTGCGGGGCGGGGGGAGAAAAGGTACACATAGTTTGGGATATTTTCTTGACTTCAGCAGTCGCCATCAGGAACTATCAATGTTTGCCTCTCCCACAACACACCCCTTTGTTCTACTTACCAACTGAAGAACACTGGGCAGTATGACAATTCTTCAGTTTATACACTTAATAATTTCCTGCCCTCCCAAAAAAGGCTGAAATGTCACTTTGGGAAAAGGGAGCCAGTTAAGTTAATAGGCTGATTGTGAAGAGAACTTAAGACCCTATCTTTATCTCAAAGTGTTTTAAGATATCTCTATATACACCTTTCTTTTCCCTGGTGGGGCACTAACATGAATAATTCAGAAGGGAAAACTATTGGTTTTTTTTTAAAATTTGATTTAATGATTAAGATCTTTGAGGATCGGGGTGCCTGGGTGGCTCAGTCATTAAGCGACTGCCTTTGGCTCAGGTCATGATCCCAGGGTCCTGGGATCAAGCCCCGCATCAGGCTCTCTGCTCAGTGGGGAGCGTGCTTCTCCCTCTCCCACTCCCCCTGCTTGTGTTCTCTCTCTCACTGTGTCTCTCTCTGTCAAATAAATAAATAAAATCTTAAAAAAAAAGATTTTTGAGGTTCCCTTTTAAAAAAAGATAGAAACCCCAGGAAATGATATAATTAATTTTAAGAAGAAACATGCAAGGTAAAAACATCCTGGAAATACTAAACACTTAAAAATCTATGCATGTGGAGAAAATAATTGAAAAAAATATGCTGAAAAACAAGATTAAAAACTAAGGTTGGAATATTCTTGTATGTACAGTGCCAAGTGTTTTTACCTTTGCTAAGTGTTTGTGTTTTAGAAATACTACAAAGTTTTTTCATCTTAATTTGAGAATGGCATTATATTTAAACTTCCAATATAGATAATTCCAAAACCAGAAGTTATTTTAATAATTATTTTTTTTCATCACCAAATAGTATTCATTTGCTGGAGGTTCAGAATTTTTTTCCATCCTATAAGTGTTTACAATTTTTTTCTATCATGCCAATTTCAAAGTAGAGATGGATAACCTGAGTAAGGGGACATTATTGGGATTTCAGGTGACTGTATGAAAACTCTGGCCCTGAAAGGCCCACCTTAGGTACATAACTGCCTGGCTAGCCATCATTTTTATTTCTTGCTCACTCCCTGTTCTGAATCATCCATTCAGATGTTTTTTGAAGGTAGGAAGTGGAGGAGTAAGCCTGGATGGCTCCTAAGAGTCTGGCGTATCATCCAGCTGTTCAGTATGTTCCATTAATATGATTCACCACTCTAAGATCTTGTTAACCCAGCAGATTGCTCAGTTACTATCTCTCAAGTTCACAGAATGAGAAATACTTGGCTTGCATCTTGCAGAAAGTCATTCATATGATACCACATTATCAAGCTCAAGTTATGGTCATAGGATTCTAGAGTCTCTGGTAGCCTTTATTCTATCTGACCTTTCCTTTTTAAATTGGATCAAATGGAAAAGTGTAGTTGCCTTTTTTAAAAATAAGATTTGATTTTTCTATTTCTCAATGCATTCACTCTTCCACCCTTTCCTTCTGCCTTAAAATCTTTCATTTCTTAATTTGACCTCCTAGGGAATCAAGTACTATTGCTCAGTGATTTCTTGCAAGCGTTTGTGTCTTAATGAGAGATGTGCTATAATTTTCTTCTCTTTAATAAATGTTTCTAGGCTACACAATCAAGATCTGGGATTTGGGACTAGATGGAATGATCTCCTAATGTGAAAAATTTGCTGTATCAAACATACTAAACATTTTTTGATATGTACTTTTTACTTTTATAAATCTTACAGTATTTTCTTTGCCTAGAATTAATTTCTAAACATGAGCTAAAATAACCACTCTATTTTATTTATTTTATTTTTTTATTTTTAAAAAGATTTTATTTATTTATTTGACAGAGAGACACAGCGAGAGAGGGAACACAAGCAGGGGGAGTGGGAGAGGGAGAAGCAGGCCTCCCACCCCGTTGCGGGGCTTGATCCCAGGACCCTGGGATCATGACTTGAGCCGAAGGCAGACGCTTAACCCAGGTGCCCCAATTAACCACTCTATTTTAATCATAGTTAAAAGGAGGCAAAGGATGTCATAAAGGCTCTTTTTATGCCATAAAACTACAGAGAATTTAGGTTTCTTTGTGGAAGTAAGTTAGTCTTCACGTCTCATAAACGGTGAGAGGACTCAAAGACATAAAAATATCCTTGATGGTATTTAAAGGGGTAATATAGCTGTATCTATGTGGACATGTTATGTTGACATTATTAAAACTAACATACAGCCAATCTGAAAAGTTCAGGTTGGCTTTTTTCTTGAACTATGTATATTGGTTCTATAGAATCTCCTAGGAAATACAAAGTTTTGTCATTTTTACTCCAGAGGCCTTTTGACCCCATGCTTTACTCTTTAACAATGGATAGTTATTGAGTAAAAATTGACAATAAAATCTTGACATTTTTTATCTGCAAAATTGTACCTGAAAAAATGTATTTGATAGAAATAAGTCACAAAAGAAAAAATTTGTAATTTCAGTGCTAATAATGGGTAGAATTAGATCTAGGAGGGGAAAGTAAATGTATAAAATATTCATTAAAATGACTGTCAGTTCATTTAATTAAGCTGATTAAAAAAATATTTTGTAAATTGAAAACAAAAATTAGAAATTGTTAAATTATATAAAAAGTTAAGCTAATTTGTTTAATCAAATTGTTTGCCCAGAAAATAATTTCTCAATGAAAATTCATCAGTGTTGGTTATATTCCTAAATGTGGATTTAAGTGACTTTGGAGATCACAGGAAGGTCTTTATTTTCAATACTCTGAAATTACTAATTTGGATTTATAAATGAAGTCTCAAAAAAAAATCTGATCAAAAATGGTATGATGCCTTTATTTGAGGTTATAAGTCAAATTGATGTGTTTAGTTTTGCTAGTTATTAAAGGGATGCTTTATAATCAAACGTCTGTTGTGTGTCCTAGGTATGTTTCTATAAAACCTGATAACCGAAAATTGGCCAACGGAACTAATGTCCTCGGGATACTAATCGACACCTTATTAATGGAAGGCTTCCACCTAGTCAGCGCTAGAACATTACTCTCTGAAGACAAAAGTGAATGCTATAGCTTTGAAAGGATAAAAAGGCCTGAAGTTCTCACCATGAACAAAACACTGAAACCAGAGACTACCATCATGTCAGAGCAATCTCAGAAAAAGAAATGAGGTTCCTGTTCCCTTTTAGAGTAAAGAGAAATTGCCATTTTCTTGTTTGGAAATTCCATATTTATGGCATGTATGTTAGTCATATATGTACTCATTTTAACTTCTGGCCTTGTCTCCCAGCACACCATCTCTGGCAACCATACCTCACCGGTGCTTAAGCCACACTAACTGCTTGCTGCTCTCTCAGTAACACTGTGCACTTGGTGCTTTGGCACATGTTCCTTCTACCTTCAATGCCTCTTTCCCTTTCTTTTCTTCATGAACACTTACACAGCTCTCAAGAATGGGTTCTGGAATCAGACTGCTTGATTTCGAATCCCAACTTAATCAGTTACTACCTATATGACTTGGGCAAGTCATTTAAGCTCTCTGTGCCTCAACTTCTTCATCTATCAAATGGGGATAATGTATCTCTTTATAGGATATGTGAAAATAAAAGGAGATAATGTAAAGTACTCAACACACTGTCTGGCACATAGTAGACACCAAGTAACTGTTCGTGATGGCAATGATGATGTTGAAGAAAAAGACGACTGGTGGCCTATTTTGAATTGTACCTCTTCTGTGAGGGTGAGGCCTTGTCTTCCTCGTTTCCCAGGCATATGAATCAGCCCTTTCCTCTAAATAGACTTATATGCCATCATGAAAACAAACGTTTTTCACTTGAATGTGATCCCAATCCACTCAACAGTTTTAACACCACTACGTGTAAAGCACTACTAAACATTTGGTGAGAGGAATAATAACTGTTACTTATTAACACCTACATTTGGTGAAAAGCTTCTGAATGACCTCTCCTAACATTTAAAATATACATATACTATGACTTAGTGATTCCTCTTTTAGGAATTCCTCATATATATGTGTCATTTTGAACACCAGAATAAACATCTAGAAAAGGAAACATTAAGTCAAAGAGCACCAAACACACAGGAGGGTTAAAAACCTGCATGGAAGCAGTTGAGTACCTTTGTAAAAAGTACAATTAATTCATTCAAAGACATACGTTAAACATTTGTTAGACACCATACTAGGTTTTCAGGATTAAAAAATGAGTAAGACAAAAGTTCTTATTCTCAAAGAGCTCATATTCAAGAGAGGAAGTACATCATCTAACAGCAAAAGATTAGAAATAAACTCAAAGTTCATCAATAGGGAATGGGTATATTATGGTTCATACAATGAAATACTATGTAGCCCTTAAAGAAGAATAGGGCAACAGTTTATAAACTAAGGAAAGATTGTCAAATATTTGTAAGTGGAAAAAAAGCAAGGGGCAGAACAATGTATAAAGTGGGAAAATATATTTCCATTATATATGTGTGTATGTGTGCATAGTTTCCAGTTGTGGAAACATACTCATTTTCTTTTTTTTTTTTTTTAAAGATTTTATTTATTTATTCATGAGAGACAGAGGGAGAGAGAGAGAGAGAAGCAGAGGGAGAAGCAGGCTCCCAAGGAGAAGGGAGCCCGATGCGGGACTCGATCCCAGGACCCTGGGATCATGACCTGAGCTGAAGGCAGACACTTAACCATCTGAGCCACCCAGGTGCCCAACAGACTCATTTTCTTAAACATGCATAGAATTTTCAGCAAAGATACGGGTCACCTGTGTAGAAGGGAACAGGGTGAGTGGGGTTTGGTGTGGAAGAAAGATTTACTTTCACCAGATCATGTAGATATATTATCTATTTAAAAAAAAGAAAGGAAGAAGATACACCTGAAAGACTGTGTATCTGTGTGTGTAGAGGAGGAAGGGATTTTAGGAGGACTATAATGGCATAGTATGGACTATTATCTTAATATGGATACAAATGTTAATCTACTACTTTTCCTGTGAAAGCCCTCCACTTAGTAAAGAATTTGCATTCCAGAAATTTCTACCAATTATAGATTTGTATACTAGGTTGTAGAGAAGAAATAAATATTTTAAAAATTTCCTAACAGTATCTCAACAGGTTATGTATAATGTAAGTGCAAAATACTTCAAGATTAGTAAGGTCAAGGTTAGCTGTTGAAAATAATGACCCCAATAAGAGAAAAAGCCCTATGAATAAGTATTTTGTTTTTGGTGGCACTTATCCCCTCTTTTCTGCAAAAAAGCCAGTTTAGTTGTTTTAGTGTGTCATCTTAATTTTGGGGATGATGTGTTTGGTTCCCTTGCTAGCACCATATTCTAGGGCACAATATTTCTATTCTGGTAAGTTTTTGACATTTTGTGATTTAACTAGCTGGATATAGTTGCCATGGTTACATATGCAACACTGTTTAATTCTGTATAGAGCTTTGCTGATAAGATTATTAAAAAACTGGTAACTGGTTAAAAAATACTGAAACAAAAAATATTGTAACAGGTTGGCAAATAATAAGACAAGAAATGCTTAAACTACTGTTAGGGAATACCTGGGTGGCTCAGTCGGTTAAGCATCTGTCTTCGGCTCAGGTCATGATCCCAGGGTCCTGGGATTGAGTCCCGCATTGGGCTCTTTGCTCAGCGGGGAGCCTGCTTCTCCCTCTGTCTGCTGCTTCCCCTGCTTGTGCTCTCTCTTACTCAGTCTTTCTCTCTCAAAAAAATATCTTTAAAATAAATTAATGTTAATATGTTCTCAGTTATTCATACTTGCACAAAACTACTTTGAGTTGAGAAATAAAATATTCTTTTTAATGTGTTAATAGAAACATATTACCTATGGAGACATAATATATATGACATTCATTCATTCACTCAGTAAATATTTATTGACATCTACTGTGTGCCAAATACTATTTTAGACATCGGATATACTGCAAGGAACAAAACAATGCCTTCCTTTCTAGAGTTTTTTCACAAAAACAATTCATAACATTGACAATGGGTTTAATCAGAATAACAAATATTATTATTAGTTTCTCAAAAGTTATGAGTTCACAATGCAGAGGTTTTTAGAAGGAGATAGAATATTCCAATTTAAAAAATATATTATTCATTAGGGAAAGTGTAATTTCAGAGTAGATTGAGTTTCTTATTTTAGTAAATATTTTAGAGATTATTGCATCTGGAGACACATCTGTCAAGATCATCTCAGTAAGCCTTTTGTGTTTACTCTAAAATAGAGTGGGACATTGTCATTGGGATATCAAGATATGCAAAAAATAAAGTCTTGTTTTAGAAAGGGGAGCAGGCAAATGTTGTTTGAAGAAAACAGGGCTATATTAGATGCACCACAGGCAAATCAAAAACTCTTGCCTGCTTTAGAAAAAAAAAAACTTTAACATTTTCATACGGGTATCACTTAACTCTTAACTTCTTGACTGAAGTGATTTGTCAGTGTTATTTTAAATTATAAGAAAATAATGGCAGAAGCTTGTCTTAGGAAAACCACTCTGAAAACCTTCTATCAAATCATATGCACCTATCAATCCATCTCATATATATAAATATGAATCATCACAACGATACATTAAAGTCTGTCAGCCCTTAACAGGACCATTAGTAGTTGGGTCTCCCCTATTCTCCCACTTCTGTTACGTTTATTTTAGCTTTTCTCCATCACCCACAGTTTCATTTTGGATAAGGCACTAAATATCTTAGCTTATTCTTGAACCTCAATAATTTACCTTATAAGTGACTGGAAGTTGCCCCTAAAAAGATTTTCTAAAAAGGATATCTAATGTTGAAATTTACTTTTGATTTTAATATACAAGTCATAATTACAAAGAGTTCTTAGGCTATGGTAAAGTTGGAATTAATTTGAGCTGCTTTCAAAATATATCTGAAATCAGGATCCCAAAATAACATAAAATAGTCAAAGGAAAGCAGCTAGAGAAATAATATATGGTTTAGGGAATCATAAGCTATTTCAAATTTATTTTCTATACTGCTAACATCTGATAAACTTCAGTTTTGCTTTATAAGTTTTTGTATTGGTTCTCTATCACAAATAATAGAAATGGTCACATCACCAGAAACCTTGCTGGGATAACAAAAGACTTGCTTAGAGCACTCTAAATCTCCCATATTCTATTGTTATTTTTCCTCTGTGCTGGGGAAGTTGACTCCTTACCAGCAAGTTTAGCAATGCAGAAGAGCCACTATGAGGGAATTTTTAAAAATAAATTTAGGAAATTTTATTACTTTCCTGGCGCCAAAGAACCCATGGAAGAGAATAATGTGACATCAAACTTAGTGTTTCAAACAAAGTTCAAGAAATAGAGTTGACATGAAAATATATTACTAAAAATACTTAGATTTCTAGAATGCCAATGACCTAGTAAAAGCCATAATTAACTCACTAGCTTTGCCACAGAACTACACTTCAAGAATTATTAGGCCGCCTATCAGACCTATTAGAGGTGAAAATTTCTGTAAAAATTTCACCAAAAAACTCATTATGTCATAAATATTAAGCTTAGGAAATGCTTTAATATTTACCTAAACTATGAGATAGATCCAACCACAAAAATCTTTTAATGGCTAACACCTTACATGGTAAATGGGAAATAAGTATTAAGCATGGCACAGAATAAAAGGGCAACAACACACAGCAAAATGAATAGGACTTTGCTCCCTGAACTAAAATGTGCCTAAGATTTGTCTAATTATACAGAAATTTTAGATAGGCAGCATTCTGCACCTTCACATTTCATACTAATACCTCAAATCCAGAAATCATTATTTTTTTTAAGATTTTGTTTATTTATTTGAGAAAGACAGAGCACAAACAGGGGGAATGGCAGAGGGAGAGGGAGAAGCAGGCTCCCTGTTGAGCAGGGAGCCCTAAGCAGGGCTGGATCCCAGGACCCTGAGATCATGACCTGAGCAGAAGGCAGACACTTAACTGACTGAGCCCCCCAGGTCCCCCAGAAATCATTATTTTAAAGTGGCTTTTTACTCTATCAGTTGAGTAAAACACACCCCAAACCAAGTGTTTCTATTTCACGTCACTCTCCATTATTTCACACTCCGATAAGAATCTGAATTTCTTTGGGTTCCCAAGTTGGAAGCCAAATAGGAGAAGTTTGTCTTACTCTTCTTGTAGTAAGACACCCCAAGAAAATCTGGCTGCAATGTCAGAGCTTCTATGAGTTCTTTTAAGATGAGGCCTGGGATTGTGCTTTATACTGATCTGTACACTCCCCCCACAGCGCTGTACATCTAATGGTCTCAACTGAACTGAACTGAACAATTTGGAACACTGTAGTCTCAGTGAATAGGTACTTGGAAAAACAAGTATTATAGTAGATTCAAAGATGGATGACACTTTATGTAAAGAGTCTGAAGGAACTGATTCAAGCTAAAGACTCTTACAGAAAAAAATCCCATGGTATTTTTCTATTAGAAGTTTACTTGGGTAGGATGCGTGCGTGGCTCAGTAGGTTAAGCGTCTGCATTCAACTCAGGTCATGATCTCAGGGTCCTGGGATCAAGCCCCGTGTCCAGGTTCCCTGCTCAGTGGGAAGTCTGATTCTCCCTCTTCCTCTCCCTCTGCCCCTAACCCCACTTCTGCTCGTGTGTTCTCTCTCAAATAAATAAATAAAATCTTTTAAAAAAAAAGTTTACTTGGGTAAGAGCATACAAAATAAGATGAAAATATAGATGTATATGGGAATACTAACTAGTTGAAAGTTACACAAAATTACACATTTAATCAGAGTAAAACAGTCCAGCCAAAATAGGAATTTACATAATTTGTTAATAAAAATGCAATGCTACAAGAATGCTTAGTAATTAAAGAAATGTTAAGGGTATACAAGTTCAGAATGAATGTTATATGACCATAATTGATATTAAATCTTGACTTACCTTCACAATTTAGGAGTCTTAAAAAGATAGAAGTCATCAGAGCAGGCATATAAGTCAGATGAAACTAGGAAAGAAATAGAGAAAAAAGTGTTCCCAGTTCTGGATAACCCGATTTAAAGTCCTAGGTTTACTGACCTTGGATTAATCAAATGATTCAAGGATTGAGGTGAAATGGTCTAAAAGATGCTGGTATATCCAGAAGACATATTACTGAGTTTTTTAAATGCTATTTTGGAAGCATAGATTAACGTTTTAGGTTTCCTTACATATCATTAAAATGGAATATATATTAAAAAATCAATTCAAGATGTAGAATAATGTGGAATTTCTGTCTCATGAAGGTGGCTATTTTTCACAGCAAGTAGTAACTAGGTAAACAGAGCAAGATACTTTGACATTCTAAATAGAAATCCTACAACACAAGGTTTAGCTCCTAGAAAAACAAAATATTTTCTTTCAATTAAATTTTCCCCCCTTTGGTCACTTTTAAATTCCTGGCTACAATTTACTGAATCCCTGTTTGATTTGTTCTGGCTAACACTTTTTTTCAGAAGCAAACCTGATTTAGAGTGAGAAGGAGTAAGTCACAGGCCTCTTAGATAGAACCTTCATTTCTGCTTAACTGTGTTTCTCCATCAAAAACAAGTATTCATATAAGGAATCTCAATTATCTAAACCTATTTTTGGCCATCTTCTGGAATTTCTTGTTATTATCTCTTTTGAAATGCCACAACTGCACATTTGGAAAACTTGTCTTCCTGGTTTTCAAATTTCTGTTTATTATTATAGCTCTTCAGCCAGAATGCCAGGTCTTTGTGCTGTACTGTTTCTTGAAACTGGAGACCAGCACATTTCCCACAATTCAATTACCTGCCTTTCCATTTGAGAAATTAAAGCCATGTCAAATTTATAAAGTTTTAACTGACTGAATCATTTGAACTTTAAGTTTTCAATTTCCTTCCCTCAATCTAATACTGGGAAAGATCTCTGTTTTATTAATAGACGTGAAGGTAAGGTTCAAGAATATTAACACACATTAGTCACTGATGCTCATAACTAATATAAGTGTAGGGATTTTCTTACAGGCATAAGCTTGGGATATCACAGTCTAAGGAAAAAAGAGAGTTGATTTTTGGAAATGTTTATTTAAGATTACGTACCTAATCAAACAATTTATTTATGTAAATTTGTGTTACACATTTCTTTTTAAAAGAAAGGGATTGGGGTGCCTGGGTGGCTCAGTCAGTAAAGCGTTGGACTCTTGATTTCAACTCAGGTTATGATCTCAGGGTTTTGAGATCAAGCCCTCAATGCGGCTCATGCTCAGCGGGAAGTCTTCTTGAGATTCTCTCCCTCTGTCCCTCCCCCCTGCCTGTATACTCACACATCAATGTGCGTGCTCTTTAATAAGTGGTTTTTTTTTTTTAAGATTTTATTTATTTGTCATAGAGAGAGAGCACAAGCAGGGGAAGTGGCAGGCAGAGGGAGAAACGGGCTTCTTGTTGATCAGGGAGCCCAACATGGGGCTTGATTCCAGGACCGTGGGATCATGACCTGAGCCGAAGGCAGATGGCTTAACTGACTGAGCCACCCAGGTGCCTCTAATAAATAAATCTTAAAAAAAATAAAAAATAAATAAAAGAAAGGGATCTATTGTCCTTAACAGTTTCAGTTCGCTTGTCTACTCTTATCAGCTTTATGAGGATAACTGACAAATTTACCTTTTCAGCCTGACTATTACATAGAATTCCCCTTCTGTATACTCAGTGATCTTTAATTAAAGGATTTCAAATGGAATGCCTAGATATCATCTTAAATTCAATGTTACCAAAACAGAACACATCTTTCCTTCTCACATTCACTTCTCTTAACTGTTCTCTTTCAGTGATACTGCCATTGTCTTCCAGTACAGAAAACATAATTTTTGACACCATCCTTTTATCTAACTCATCATGGTGTTCTACAGTTTTTTTTGAAATATCTTAAATTTATTATTTCATCTCCATTCTCAATGCTATTATTCTGTTCAGGTTTTCTTTACTCCTAGATTACTGCAACAGTCACATGCCCAGTTTCTTTGCCACCAGAGTTTATATCTTAGAATCTTTCTCTATATAGTATATATTACTATATTTAATTTCCAAAAATTCCATTACTTTGTCAACTTCCATTATTTTGTTGGAAGAGGCCCTAATGTCTCCCTATTCCATGCTGTTTTAAGACTAAAGTTCTCTAATCTGTTTTCCAGGCAAAGGCCCAACTACTTAGTTTTAACCCAGTTATCCAAATTCATGTAACCTTTGCCTCAGGTCTTAAGGCAAAGGTCCTAAGTTTACTTTTCAGGGAATATTGAACTTTCTTTTGCCTTAAATTCTTATCAACAAATTAGGAAAGTCCACTATTTAACAGTTCAGTACATTTTAATTTACAGCATACAGGCCACAAATTATAAAATGAAGACTTTTTTTTATTGAATCAGCAGGAACAATGGTCCAATTCCCCTGTACTTCCCCAAATTTACTTACAGTTTTGTGATGAGAGATCATCTTGTGTGGCATTTACTGCCCTTTACAAGAGCGAGCTGTTGTCAGGTACTCTGCTCTATACAATGTCTTGTTTTCTGTTTCCAGTCTCAGTCCTTTCTCCACATGGTCTAGGTACACATGCAATAGTCAGTTCTCACCTTTTGGAGGGGAGGCAGTGGTGGTATCAAAATACATGCCTAGAAAACAGGTCATAAAGCAAATCAATACAGAGGGGAAACTGCTTTGCCATATAAGCTATTATTTAGTTGCTGGTTGAAATCCTGGATTTTGGTTAAATGTTAAGTATAACAAGTCAACCACCCTCAAAGCCAAATCAAACTCAACAGCAACAACAGATCTTTCAAAAAATGCAATTTACATACAGGTTCTGAAAAAGACATAAATATCATATTTTATATAAAAGCTCTAAGGGTACATAAAATAAAACCTTATCACATTATAAATATGATTTGAATGTCCTAGCAGAAAACAAATGCTACATATTTGAGCCACAGTTTTGTCTTAGATTTCTAAAAGCTTTCTCTGGGGTGCGCCTGGCTGGCTCAGTGAGTAGACCACGAGACTTCTGATCTCAGGGTCTGAATTCAAGCCCCACGATGGGTGTAGAGTTTCAAAAAAAAAAAAAAAAAGCTTTCATTGGTGTGATGTGGATAGTCTTTTACACAATTGTCCAAGAAAATTAGAAAACCTATTTCACTCAATGAGGTGGTTCCACTAAGCAGAGGGATTCAGAAACACACACTTCAAAGAATCACAGGAGATGCTCAAGATATTTGTTTTTTTATGATTATGGTAATGGTGTTTCTTGAAAAGCATTTTTAAATATAAGTAGTTTTCATTCTATCATCTCCCAACTCCTCAGAGACACACAAATAAAGGCCAACAGAAAACAATTAAACTATACTTCACTGAAAAGCTTTAGATGATCAATTAGATTACCAATGGCCCTCCAGAGGGATACCGAAATTTCACGGGCCTTCTAACTGTTCAAAAACCTACCAACAGGTTTGAGCTTTGATTAAAAAATTTTTAAAAAGAACATTTTAAGATAAATAAGACTTGAGGCATGAGTGTCAGTAGGTAGCACAGAATCAAAGGAGCCCTGTAAACGTAGTAAAAGGTGGAGAACTTTTTAATTACCAGGAAGGAGCCTAGGCATTTCTGTATTTATCTAGCTGGTATTTAGCCTTTCCAGAATAAATTTATCATAAAGATATTATTGCTGATTTTCAGCAATTGCCATTCATCAAGCACCCACTATGTTAAGTTTGTGGCATATACAATAAAGAGTTAAGATAATCCCTGTCTATAAAGCAGGATCTATTAATTGTTCTAAATCAGGTATATGAGCACAAAAGAGAGAAATGGCATTTCTGGCTGAGGAGGAAAAATGAACTGGGAAAATTTAATGCAAGGAGTAAATAGCCTGAGAAGATTTAGACAGGTGAAGATGAGGGAAAGGACACTCTAAGAGTAAACAACTTGAGCTAAGGCTCAGAAGCAAATTAGAGAGGCATTTGGAAAAGGAGTATTTCTATTTGGCTTAACAGTACTTTGGTATTAATTCACAATCATTCTCATAGCATTAAGATCAATTTTACCTAGAACAAAAAATATCCCTGGTAGTAAAATACTGGCTATGAAATCCTTTCCCCTTAAGATTTCTCACTTGACTTGCTGAGTTAAAATACATAGACCCCCTAATATTTAGGGTAAACTTGTCTAATTTAATCCCAGATTTCCTTCCAATTGTGTTTTTATCCCCCCTTCAAATCATCACATTTTGGCTCTCAAAGGGTCGCAGGCAATCCAAATACTCTTGTTTTCTTCTATTAGAAATTAGGGCGTTTTAGGCAAAAGAAAAGAATCTCAAACATGGTTACATTCATTTCCCTACCTATTCCCCAGTACCAATCTCTGTTTTCGATCTAGTATATGTGTTATTCCTTCCTACTTGATGATGCCTTGACTCATGTTTCCTGAACTTGAAAGTCTCCGATTTCTTCACTTCAGCTCATCTTCCACCTAAGAAGTCTTCTTTGATGAGTCTAAGTCCACATTTTCTTTGAGCTTCTACTGAACTTCAAGTCTGCCTGATAGAATTTACACAAAACTATTTTCTAGTTGTTTCTTGTGAGTATAATATTTCCATCTAGGCTAAAAGTTCTTTGCTGACAGTGACAATCTTTTTAGGACTATAGTGGGCATTGAATAGGCCCTTAAAAATCACATGAAAAATGCTAACAAATTTTAAAAAATTAAAAAAAATTTAAAGTAAACTCTATGCCACATGTGGGGCTTGAACTCATGACTCCAAGATCAAGATTTGCATGCTGTACTGACTCAACCAGCCAGGCACCCCAACACTTAAAAAAATTTAAAGTAGCATTTAGTAACTATTTTTGATGACTCAAAATTATATTTACTCTCATTTATAGAATTTGAGGTCTCAAATTACAACCAACTCAGATTTTCACACTATTCAAAAATAGATTTGCGTATTAATAAAACTGTCCTAGTCTACCACATGTACATAACCATGATCAAAACCAGCGGCCATTCTTGGTAATCCAATCCCTTCTGATCCAATTTCTGACAGTGGGGGAGAGATATACAAGTATATGGCCTTCTTACAAGCAACAGATTATAACTGAAAGTTTTATAATTAAAATCCTTTAGAATGTACATCTTTAAGTGTGTCATCAAATCATGAATACAGTAATGTTCAGCTTGAAATAAAGTGAAATTTTGCTTAAAGGAAATTGGAATTCTTCAAATCGAATCCTTAGTTAATCTGAATTAGTCTCTTGTACTCTACCTCAAGAAAAAAACTGTAGGGGCGCCTGGGTGGCTCATTTGTTAAGCATCTGTCTTCGGCTTGGGTCATGATCCCGGGGTCCTGGGATCGAGCCCCACATCAGGCTCCCTGCTCCGTGGGAGGCCTGCTTCTCCCTCTCCCACTCCCCCTGCTTATGTTCCCTCTCTCGCTCTCTGTCAAATAAATAAAATCTTAAAAAAAAAAATGAAAAAACTGTAATCAAATACCCTCTGTGTTATATGGCTTAGAACACATTGAACATAATTCTTAAAACTTCTATACCTATTATTACAGAATATATGACTTGATCATTCCTTACTCATAAAATTTAACAATATTAAGATTAAACAATATACTAAAATATTGCAATTTTTTATGTTTTAGAAAATATTCAAATAAAAGTTTAGGGTAATTATAAACTTCAGTTAACTAAATCATCTAATACTCCATATTGTCCCATTAATTCAATTAAATGCCTTATCTGATAAACTTTAAAATTTTATCATTATTTTTCATTTACAGTGCAGCAAGTGCTTCTCCTTCTCTAAGTTCCAGTGGAGATTGTTTTTCTTTTTTTGACTGTATCTCATAGAGTCAAGGTGTTGGGTTTGATGAAGGGTAGGAGAAACAAATCTAACAATTTTTTCCATAATGGCAAAGTTAAACATATAATTTCCAAAATTCTAAGGTGATATTAAAGTTTCCACATAAATCCACAAAACTTAACTTTTTTCCTTTGCTTTTATGTCAGTATAAAGAATTATTTGCAAAATGGATATATTGGAGGCTGACTTTGTTTAGGGTTTTAAAAATATGGGATAAGACAGAGCCAAATTCAATCTCTTACAATTTTAAACAGAGGACTGGAGAGAGATAGCAACTTACTTAAGGTCACATAACTAACCAGTAGTACCACAGCCAATTTTTAAATATTTGAATATGACCACACTTTTTTTTTTTCCAACTTCTTCAGTCTTATCTATTCCGTACAAAAAAAAAAAAAAAAAAGGCATGAGCAAGTTATTTGTGGGACTTATTGGTTTTGAAGGAAACCTGTAAGATTTTGTCCCCCAGGCGGTAGCCGTTCATACTCGCTATGGCCATGGCGGCTTCTTCATAGTTTGTCATGGTCACTAAGCCAAAGCCTTTGCACTTGGTGTTGAAGTTGTGAATCACTTTCACATTGGTGACTGCCCCAAAGGGGCCAAACATCTGCCAGAGGATCCCTTCATCGGCGTCCTGCCCGAGGTTGTAGATGAAGATGCACCACCCCGAAGACGCGTTGCCCAGGACATTGACACCAGAAAGCCCACTCATGTGATCTACACCCATAGAGGAGAACCTGAATCTCTGCGCCTGGTGGTGAACGGGGCCTCCGAACCGTCTGGCGGGTGAGTGGTACAGGTGGAAGAGCAGCACCACGTTTTTGTTCTGGTTGGGGGTTGGCTGCAAACTTCACTGTAATGGGCTCGGAGGAACCTGGGGGTTTATGACCAATGAAACTGGTAATTGCCTCTTCTGCTTCCGACCCTTTGTCAAACCGGATAAACACAACCCCTCTGGACAAACCTGTGGTCTGATCCACAAGGACCCGGGAGTTGATTCGCCCGAACCGAGAGAACATGTCTTCCACGTCCTTCTGGTCTGCGGGAGCCCGCTGATGTACAGGTTGGCGTTTTTGATTACCTCTGAGCTCGGGCGAGCGTATGACACCTTAATGGTTTTTGACTGGAGCCGCAGGCCATTCAGGGTGTTGATCGCTCTCTCCGCATCCTTGGCAGTCACGTAGTTCACAAAGCCGTAGCCCTATCCCGAATGAGTTTTGCAGATTCGACTTCACGGATACTGCTGAACAGACTCCGCAACTCATTCTGGGTCATGTTCTGCGGGAGGTAGTTGACAATTAAATTCGTTCTCCCGATATCATCCCTGCAGTCTTCGGCCATGTGGTCTTCATAACCATTAGATACTGTATTTTTTTAAAAATCTGGATGCGAGCGGGCGGGCCTGGGGCCCAGGGTTTAAGCTTCTGTTTCCATTGTCAATCCTCTGGCAAAGTGACCAAGCTACCTAAACACTTCTTTAGCATAATATTCACAAATATGAATTTATTATATTGGATTATAACATTTTGCTCTGCTTCATTTCATGGTCTTCTAAACCAGTGGGAAATCTTTAGTTTCTTTTACATGCTCAACTGTTACCTGAATAAAATGGCATCTTGATGACATTGAAGAGACTGGTATCAGAGGCAAGTGCCTCTGAATAAAGTGACTTGTTGGATGAATGAATAGCTGTACACACATTACTGAATGAGAATGAACTGATGGAAGTTTTATTGTCTGAGACCTTAAAAATAAGGACAAAATCATAGGAAATAACTTACAGATTTGCATGTCTAGAATCATCAAATTAATGTAATGAATATTTTCATTTCTATTAGCTGATTTTCCAGATTATTCCTAATTCTTATATGAATTCTCAAATGAATACTAATTCTATTTCTTTAGGGATGCTTAAATTATTTTCTATAGGAGCAAGTAAGGGAACCAAAAGCATAGTCTAAAAAGAATCTAAAAAATTCATTTTACTATTTCTAGAACTTTCATCTTTTCAACCGTAAGAAATTGAATACAAAAATATTGACTACTAAAAGTAAAAATTTTGAATGCACAGAGGCTCTAAAATTGCAAGATGATTTGTTGATAACAGAATTCTAAAAATTCTGACTTACCTTTTAAAACTCCCATGAGAAATAAATCAGATTTATTTATTTATTCAATATTAATTAAATGCTTACTGGGTATCTACTATGTGAGATATGTTTTCAGCTTAATTTTAATGTCCTTATATGTGTAAGGGAATTTTGTTACTTGAAATAACATCAGCTATCACAAACCGTAAAACTATACAGCCCATGCATGAATTTATAAAAATGCAAACGGTACAATTTCATACAAAAAGATTATCATACTAAGACGAAATGAAACAAGATGAAAAGTAAACTTAGTCAGAAAAAGTAGTTTCCAGCCACTTTAGACCTTTCCATGGCTAATAATTACAGTAGTCCCCTTATCCTTGAGTTTGCTTTCCATGGTTTCAGTTACCTGCTGTCAACCACAGTCCAGAAGTTGATCCCCCTTCTAATGAATCATCTGATCTACAGTAGCTTAATGCTACGTCACAATGCCTACATCATTGACCTCACTTCATCTCATCACATAAAAGTACAAGGTATTTTGAGAGACCACATTCACATAACTTTTATTACAGTATATTTTTATAATAGTTCCATTTTATTATAGTTATTAATCTTACTGTACCTACTTTACAAATTAAACTCTACCATGGGGGTGTGTGTATATACATACATATATATATGAATGTGAATGTATATGTATGTGTGTGTATATATATGAAACATAGTATGTATAGGGTTCAGTACTATCTGTGGTTTCCACACATCCACTGGGAGTCTTGGAACATATCCCCCACGGATAAGGGGGGGGTTACTATATGCAGGCCTGGATTGAAGACGAGGTTATCATTTTATCATTCTTATGCTTCCTTTGTGCCATGTGTTGTATTTAGAATCTTGCTATCGAAACCCTATTCTAACACAATGATATCTCAGGCTTTTTACTTGTCTAAAAATGAGGATATTGAGTATCTCTGGAAGTGAGCAGTTAATTTTAGAAAAGTTATTAAAAATAATTTGAGTAGCAAATGTGTCAAGTAAATTACCAAATTAAATGAATTATCAGGAATTCATTTAACTATAAAACACCCAAATATTTGACAAGGTAGGTCTTGTTTGGGAGGACTTAACTATGAAGAGCAACAGACTACCATGTGAAATCTATTCAAGAGGCTATGTACAGCAAGCAAGGTATTATGAGCTTCAGTTACTTTGGGAATATACTTGGGTCCCCCAAACAAAAGTAGAGCCCAGAAGCCAGATTTCCCAATGCAGAGTAAAGCATCTGAATGTCATAGATTTACGTAGACAGGATTCAGAGACTGGATACTGTGGGGTTCAGGCAGGCAGGGTTTGGGAGATCAGCAAGAATACAAACATAGTGCTAGGTAAAGGAGTCACACCCAGATCTCAGGTAAAGATGCAGGTGAAAACATCTATTTCTTGATGTGGTAGAGAGAGTTACAAAGTTTCTTGATGTGGCTGTTTTGGTCAGATTCTTACATACAAGCTTGTATGAATTCATTGGCTGAGGCAAGGTTGACTTGGATTTTAAAGTTGTCTTAAGCAATCAACTATAGGTGATTCAGATATCAATGAAGTGAAAAAAAGTCCATTAAATAATTTTAATACTTTTTAAAAGTACTTAATATTTCAAACTCTGAATCTTGCGGTGGTAGAAAAGCTAACTGAAATTCTGACCTCCATAGTGCTTTCTTGTAAAATCTGAAAGAACATCTGAGAATCCATTTCAGCCTGCTAGGGACAATTTTTCTTAAGACTTACATCAGATGTATTGTCAAAGTTTTTCTTGTCTGTTACCTAGGAGATAAAATATGCTCTGTGAAATTCTTTATTCCTAACTAGTACCTCATCTCAATGAGAAAGATAAAAAGCCCTTACACAGACTTACTTCACATATAAAACTATATATTACCTGGCAAACAGTATTTCATGTTTCTAATTTATCTTTTCCTTCTGATCCTTTAGTGAAATTGTGATACTGGTGACCTATAGATGGATTTGACCTAATTGAGCTTGGGAGAATTCCACCGAAAAGCAAGATCTAATGTCTAGCTGACTAGTGAGTTGCTTTGAGCAGCCATATTAATATTGGTATCAATGTATTGTATAATAAAGGAACTAACGTATTAGTGCTATGTGAGGTCATCAATTCTATTTACTACATTAGTCATAAGTGAGCAGAGTTAAGATATAGTCTCTGGGCTCAAGCGTGTTAGGCTATCAGCCCAACAGCAGAGAAATAAGGAAATAATCACAGTACAATGTAACATAAACACTAATTAAACTATTATAAGGATGGGAGTTATTTTCTGTGTATGTGGACAGGCTGGGAGGAGGTTGCTCTTCTAAGACCTGAGAATATTTCTAAATGCTAAGTAAGGATTTGCTGGAATTGCTCTATGAGACAGAATGAAGTTTATTATTAAGCCCTGCCAGAAGTCCAATTCTTTAAATTGATAGGGAAAAAAAACCTGATAGGAAATACTAAGAAAATAGTGTCTGATAGCTTAGGGATAATCTCCAAAACAAGTCACAATTTATACTGTATAGTTTGTTCGCAGCCTTTTAGTTATAAAAGGTCTGTTTTTCTTAGATTTTGATGAGCTTTCAGAGACACAGTGTGTTTGAGATGACAATGATGTTTGATGCTTTAATGCCTTAAAAACAATACAACTAAGTATAATATATAGATGTGTAGTCTTTACTCTGGACAGTTAGGTGGGAGCAGTTTTCTCAGGGGAGGACTATGCTCTTACACTGAAGCTGACTGAATTCATATACCTGTATGTATATCCATGGACCATACAAACATACAGAAGGACATGGACACATAAACTCACCCCATGTCAAATGTTACCAAAATACACTTCTAAGAGTATGTCTCCTTACAGTGGGACAGTAGTACCATCATGGAATATTTGAGCTAATTTGTGTTTGGTAGAATATTTCCACATACAAACCTATTTTTAAGGTATCAATATTATTTTTTAGCATTTTAGGGTGTAATATTTGTTAATTTTGTCCCTTCTGCGTCTTACTAGCTATAGGACAGAGGCTGTTAATTACTAAGGGCATGATATCTATAATCAAACCACCTGAGCTTGAATGCTCCCATCCCTTTACAAGTTATGTGGCTTTAGGCATACTATTTCCCTGTAACTCCATTTCTTTATTTATAACACAGGGATAATGATGTACCTCCCTCACCAGGTGGTTATGAAACTTAAATGGGTTATAAAATGTAAAAGTTTCTGGCAAAGGACAATCAATGTATTAGCAGTTATTTCTACCACTAATAGTACCTAAAGCTTGAGTGGTTTCTATATGCACTTAAAAAAAAAATCAACCCTAGTAGGTATTTAATACATTAATTTGATTTGGGCCATTTTCACTAAAACAACCATTTAAACAATAAAAAAAATTACTGGCTTATTTCCCAGAGGGGCAAATACACCTTAAAAACTGGGCCATGGCTGATGTTCACTATTTTTTTTTTTAAGATTTTCTTTGAGAGAGAGAGAGAGAGAGAAACAATGAGGGGAGAGGATCAGAGGGAGAAGCAGGCTCCCCGCTGAGCTGGGAGCCCGATGTGGTACTTGATCTCAGGACTCCGGGATCACGACCTGAGCCGAAGGCAGTCGCTTAACCAACTGAGCCACCCAGGCGCCCTGATGTTCATTACTGTATTTACAATTATTTCATACCCATAATCTCTTATCTAATTTGGAAGAGAACCAGAGTAGTTTGAAAAAGTACTTAACTGTAAGAACTAAAAAGCTTGCATTAAAAGGTATCATAAAAATTTTCTTAGCCAAGCCATAACATTGTCTCACAATGATTTGACCTCAAAAGAACTGGCAGAGATACTATAGAATTATTTCCTGCATATTTGATGCCAGACTCAACTAGACCCCATCGCTAATTTTATTTTATTTTTTTTAAAGTAACTGGGTTTTTTTTTTTTTTAAGATTCTTTTATTTATTTATTTGAGAGAGAGAGAATGAGAGATAGAGAGCACGAGAGGGAAGAGGGTCAGAGGGAGAAGCAGACTCCCCGTCAAGCAGGGAGCCCGATGTGGGACTCGATCCCGGGACTCCGGGATCATGACCTGAGCCGAAGGCAGTCACTTAACCAACTGAGCCACCCAGGCACCCTCCATCGCTAATTTTAGAGTGATATTGATCCTCCTGGGAACACTCCATCTAATTAGTAACTGAGCACCTACTATGTGCCTGGCAAGAGGAAAAGCTCCAATTGAAGCTGGATTCCCCTATATTTAACTACAAAAAGAGAATCTGAAGAGTGTAATTCTAAGTCCAAGCTATGGCCTTTCAGTCTTACTAACATCCAAACACCACAGAACATCAAAGAACGCCCCCACTTGGACACTATAACTCATCTCAAACCAAAACTGTTCTATTAAGAATTTCTGTAGGATTTCTTTCTATTGGTTTATCTAAATTTTTTAACTTTACTCTCCTTGGAAGTCTTAAGAGGAAAATGAAAACTTAATAATCTAGTTCTATGTCGGATTTGTCCAATAGCTTTCAAAAAGTAATCCTTGAAAACAAATGCCAACTTACAAAAGCTTTTAGTATTTAAATATTATGTTCCAACTCCAGTATTTAATAAGTTAACATTTTCATTTATTTCATTGTTCTCAGACAAGTTACATGTTTCTGGAAACCTTGATCTTGAACTTCTTAGAGCACCTTCCTTAGACAGTGTCAGGTCTGTTAAAAAGAAAGTTTATCAGTAAAAACTGTCCAAAAGCAAAAAAAAAAAAAAATCCACGTTTCCCTATAATTTCCTTCAGTCAAAAATTGTCCTGTTAGCACAAATGCCCTTACATTTTAATGGCAAGGATTTAAGATGATGTATTCATTTTCTTCATTTCAAATAGTATCTTTAAATCATACAAACTCCCCCATCCCCATTTCACTTTTGAGGTACTTGGTAAAGCAGTCCACTTCCATAATGCATACATTCAAAGTTAGTAGAGAGCCCTTGCTTGTTTTAAGGAGCTGTATTTGCAACCCTGAAACCTGATCTCCCTGGTTTTGCCCTCCAGTGCAAAACAAAATACACAAGTCTCAAGATTACTTGTCTTCTCCTTTTCAAGGAAGCTTCTCAATACCTTCAACCATTCCTTGTGACATTTGAACACCCCATATTTTTCAATTCTCTAAATGCACTCTAGTTGGTTCACTTCCATATTTTACATGTGTCCTGACATGAGCCATATACACCAATACTTCCCATCAACAATGGTTTGGGGGAACAAGTGTTTATTAGCATATAATAGGTTAACCTATAATTTTCATGTTAGTTTTGAAATTTGTTCAAACTTTACCTAAATTCCAAATTGAATTATACAACTTGGCTATCCAGGAACCAGGAACATCCGGTATTTTTGAGAATAAAAGTACAAAAAAAAAAGAAAAAGAAAGTAAGAGTACATTAGGGGTGCCTGGGTGGCTTAGTCGTTAAGCGTCTGCCTTTGGCTCAGGTCATGATCCCAGGGTTCTGGGATTGAGCCCCACATGGGGCTCCCTGCTCAGCGGGGAGTCTGCTTCTCCCTCTGCCTGCTGTTCCCCCTGCTTGTGCTCTGTCAAATAAATTAATAAAATCTTAAAAAAAAAAAGATGAGTACATTAAAAAGTTTTTTTTTTTTTGCGGTGAGGGGGATTTAGTTTCTAACGAATATAGGAAGTATAGTAAAACCACCATAAATGTTTCCTGCAGAGCATAACTATGTAGCACTTTCTAAAATGAATAAGTCATCACATTTTAAAGGTCCCAATTCCTTGAGTTTTAGCGGTAAACATATCTAAGAATCACTAATTTGAAAAAATTGTACAATAGCTTATTTATTATGGACCAAAGATTTTACTTTCGGGTATTTTTCCTATTTTTTCAAAGGATGCAATAAACCACTAAAATGCTGACAAAAATGGCACAACAGAGAATCTGACTTGAAATCTGTACCATAGGCGTCTTTTGGTGACAAATACCCCTCCCAGAGATAAAGATTTTTAGACTTCCCCCAAAATATTTTCTTTGTTCTATTAACCAAGTTGTTTTCAGGTTCTAAATCTCCCTTTCTAAATTACTACTGTTCTTAAGAGTTTTAGTTAAGTTCTAAAATATCTGCGTGTGAGAAAAACAAGTTGAAACATACCATTTTTGCTTACATGCTAAATGGGTCACTGTAACAGAAAGGTCATATACTGTGAATCCATACATTTGTGTCATATTTACATTTAGCCATGTTTTGAACTGAAATGTCCATAATAAATGCTTTTTGAATATTAAATACAAATTCCACAATTTGAGAATAGCCAGCTTTTTGATAAATTTGATATAGTTGTGGAGATACAAAAGAAAGAAACTCATAATTTAATATACCAGTCTTAGATTTCTCTTTGAGCAAACCTTGAGCCACTCCACATACTTCGGTGGTTATTTTTCTTACTCTCCTGCTAAAAAAACTTCAATGACCTCCCTTGCCTCAGAATGCTTCTCACACTACAGAAAGGTACCCTTGGGGCTGGCATGAAACTGTGGTAGAGGAACCACAGGGTCAACAAGATGTATCTTCTCATATGTTCAAATTTACTAATATTGAGGAAAAAAGTTAAAAAAATTTTAAGCATTTTTACAGTAAAGTATTATGGAACAAATTATAAAGTTAGTAGTTTAAGGTGCATTTTAGATAAATGTAAAGAAATTTCTTAGCCAGAAGCATATCCCATCTTTCTTTTCTAGAGGGAGATACTCTAGGTTTCTATCCCTGGCATAGTTATCAATTGGATTAAGAAATTAAAACTATGCAACTAAAGGGAATGAGGCTGATAATAGTAAGTTGCTACTGGATGGTAAAAATGTGATTTCTAAATAGAATTTTTTGCCTTTTCCAAGGTTTCTATGCCTATGTATTACTTTTATGCTAGGAGAAATTAAGACCAATCTTTTTAAACAGGAAAATTCCCCCCCCCTTTTTAAAGTAAGCTCTACACCTGAAGTGGGGCTTGAACTCATGACCCCAAGATCAATCAAGTCATATGCTCTACCAACTGAGCCAGCCAGGTGACCCAAAACAGGAAAATTCTTAATTTTTAGATCTAAAAGTCAGTTTAATTGCTGCTAAATATTTATAACTATAAAATAAACTTATTAGTTTTTCTTTATATAGTTCAATATGGCTTCAAAATTAAAATAGATTTATCTACTTTTTATACTTACCTTTTGAGGTTTTGGGGGCTGGAGTGGAGAAATGACAGCAAAACCACTCAAAAAATTCTTGAATTCTTTTCAACACGCCTTTGAGAACACATAGATTGCTCCCCTACAGTTGATTTTAAAATTATCTGAGTTTTGAAATTACCTGTTCAGTTCTTCCCTGATAGTTAATTCTTCATTATCACTTCTAAAGATCCTGAACCTCGTAGGATTTCCATTTACAGATTTCCAAAGGGGGTTGATTATGTGGTTGTAAGTCTGCTTCAAATAATTTTTATTTTTCAAGGATTTATCTCTCTCCTTTTCAGAAAACAAACTTTCCTTTCCCTGAGTCACAAAAATCATACATGCTTATTTGTAATCATGAAAATAAGATCCACCCCCTCATCCTAATAAGATTTGTCTCACACCTGCAATAAACAATAACAGTTTAGCAAATGTATTCGTTTAAGGAGTCTGAAAATATCTGACATATCTTTACTTAATCGTGAACAATTTTCTAGCTGATTAAATATTCATTACATTATTTTAAATAGCTGCACAATATTCCACTCAGCATGTTAATCAGCCTTTTATTACTGGACACTTTAAAAACTCTTCCAAATTTTTAATATTATAAACAATACTATAATAAACACATGGATTACTTCTTAAAAGTATATTTATTAATTGCTTTTACAATATGGAAAAATTAGAGAATTTATTCTTTTAAATATACTAAAATCCTAGAAATGTATATGGCTAGTCCATACTCAATTATAGGTGAGACAGAGAGAGAGAGAGAAAGAGAGAGGGAAGTGGGGGAAAGGAGGGAGGGAGGGGAAGAGCTTTTCATATAACAGAGGAAAAAATCAACTATATCACTCATCAGCATAAAATTAATATGTAAACTCTGGAACCTGATACTTAGGCTGATGTTTTCAAGTTCTGGGCATCTTAGTCCATTTGCTTTTCTTCATTCTGTTTATAAAATTTTAAATTTTTATTCATATGGCTAATATATTTAAAAGGTCAATATGTACTAATAAATGAGGCACAATTAATGATGAAGCGTTCTGTCCCTCAGGTGTGTTAAGTTAGAGAAAAAGGTTAAGAACTACAGATATAAACTGTTCATACCACAAGGAGGGGTAATGTCTTATTGTTAAAGTAAGGACACATTTACCACACACAAGAGGTCTGGCCCATTTTTAAGCATGTACAAGAATTAGTTGGGGGGAGAGTTGTGGTGGGTGAAATGGCATAAATGAAGGCAAAGAGAAAAATTGGATGGATCAAGACTAGTTCCCTTGAAGAAAAGCGGAAAAAAAGTAAGGGCAACATCATAAGGTACAAGCTAAGGAGTTTAAATTTTATCCTATAAGCAAATGTGTGTTTTAGGAAGATTAAATTAGTGGGATGTATACTATAACAAATGAAACAATTACAGGCAAAGAACTTCTCAGATACGATGCTACAGAATAGGTGAGAAATAATGAAATACTTAATTATGGCAGCAATTCCAGAAGGGAGGAGTCAAAGATGGTGGTGATTCGTTTGGGTAAATGACAAACAGGAGTAAGGTCAGTGTCTCCTGGAGCTGTTAGCACTGACAAGCTAAACTGATCAAGTGGAAAACAACTTCAGAGCCATGAAAGCACAATCTGTAAAAACCTGATCATTACACATGTATCTATTCACCAACTATTTAAACATTTTGTTTATATTCTAAATGGTGTCAGATGGAGGTTCTAACCTTGAGTCAGATTCATAAATATTGTTCTATCTACAAAGGTCAAATAGGCTGAAGCTTCTTGAGTTCTTTTAAGTATGAAAAATTAAATCTGTAGAGCAAGCTAAAAGCTTAAACAGCCATGAAATCTAGCCCCTATAAACTCTTCGATCCCATGAGCTACAAGTCTCCTTCTTGCATATTTAATCATGGCCACCCAGACCTTGCTGTTCCTTGTACACACCAAAAATGCTTCAGCCTCAAAATCTTTGTAGTTGTTATTTCATCTGCCTGAAAGGCTGTTTTCCCAGATACCTAATGGTTTGCTCCTTATCATTTTAAAAATCATTGTCTTACTAAATATCATCTCTGTGAAGCATTTTCTGACTATAATACTTAAAAACATCTCTCTCCTGCTTTCTAAACACCTTTATTCCATCCTTTCCCCTTCCTTGTATTTTTTCTACATAGAACTTACCATCTGACATACCACATATAGTACCTATCAGTTTTTTTGTCTATTCTATTACCTATGTCTCACTCCCAAGACTGTAAGCTCTATGAGGGTGGAAATTTATTTTTGTTCGGTGTTGATCCTCAGAATTTAAACAGAATAAATTTGTACCTCTCTCTATATAATGTTTCAAATCTAATTTTAATGCTCCCTGTCAAACATTAGCATTTTCACACTGCCACAAGATATTCATGAAAGTATAAACTAAATAATATAAAAATCTACATTAATTATTTTACAATTTAAAAATTCTCTTAAGGAATGATATACTTAAACTTTCCTGACTTATACTACAGGACAACAAATACCCTTCTTCATTGTTTGTTTCATGCTAAAATGGCATTTTTAATTGATGACAGGGAAACAAAAAAATCTATAATTTACTATCATATGCATTAAATTCAAAAAAGAAATAAGTTTTAGTGGTACTATAAGAACTTATACCCCTGAAATGTTATAATATAAGCATTCCCAAAAATTATAAAATAATGAAATGTGGAAATAAGCAAACTCTGGGGTGATTCAGAATTTCTACCACTTCCTAAAGATATTCTTTAATAGAATAATCCATGGTGGGTGGTTAAATTATAAAACAAAGATATACAAATACTTTTAAATAACAAGTTAACCAGATTAACATTTTGTGTAAAAGTAGCTTAAAAGTTCTTTCTCAGCATAATTGCTTAAAATCTAATCCTACAGCATATGATAAATAGAAACAGTAACAACATTTTCCAGGTAGTTTATATTTCTTCAAAACACAAAAGTTCAATCACAAGAATACAATAAATATATTATTCAAAGTTCCACAGAATTAAGGGGGACCTATAATCATTGATATGCTAATTTAAGTATTTTACTCAAAGTTTTTGCATGAATTCCATGTATTAGTAATCAAGAAATAGACCCAAATAGAAATTATAAATGTTGAATTTCAGTAATAATAAAGCAAAAAAAAGCAACTAACTTGTCACCTTGCCCAGTAACTTTAACAAAAGGTTTAAACTTATTTATTTTGTCAATATTTTCATTGTATATAGCTCAAAAAAAAAAGACATCAGAAATCTGTGAGATATATTTTTAAACAAACAAGGCAAGAACATATACTCTCACATTTCTGGTGAGTTAGTTCTGCATTAAAGGGGCTCAAGTTATTAGTAATAAGACAGAAACTGCAAGAAATCCTTTGACAGAGGTAAAAAAAATAATTTTAGCTGGAAATGATGATGGTCTCATTTCTTCTCCTAGATACGCAAATAATGTCTAAATACTTACTAGAGCCAAATCTATCTCAAAAGTTTGGGACATTAATTTTTCTCCTTTTTGTTAATACTCAATGAGAAAAAAACACTTAGAATTAAAACTTTTTCGATGAATAAGGGATAGTAATATCCACCTGCAAAAGGAAAAAAAATTGATTTAGAATGTCAACTTCTAAATAAATAAATCATTAACTTAGAGATCACAGTTTATGAAAGTATAATCTTGCTTATCCAATTATGGCTAACCTGGGCATGTATCCATAAATGATACTTAGTGGCTTACAAACAACATGTAATTCTGTAACAACAAAAGGATATATATTGACTGAAGAAAACCTTTAGGGTTGAGTATAGAATTTAGTCTAAGGCCAAATTTTCTATCTACTATCACATATCTGTATGTGTGATCTTAAGAGATCTCCATTTAAATATAGGATATAAACGGAGTTATTCAACTATTAAAATATTCCTCTTGCTGCTTCTTGGATACTTGCCTGAGTCCTCTGAATTAGCTCCAAACTCAATCCATATTCCAAGTAAAAGATTTAAGATGCTCAATATTGAAATTATTTGGCATCAACTTAAAAAGAGACTGAATGAAAAAAATGAGGATTTTTTCCAAAGATGGAAAAATGAAAATTTAATACACACCCATACTTATTTTTCTTTGTAAAATAGCCAAATTTAGGTTATAAAGGGTATAACTTGTATTTTACTATTTCCGCTTTATGTGTTCAAAATTACACAAAGATGGAAGTGTATTAACTCATACAAATAAAACTTCCCAGTTCCGCTGAATTACCTAAAATGTGTGTTTCATTAGGTACTGATAGGCCATTTCCTCTTCTTTAGTAAGAGACTGGAAAGAAGCTGTATGCTGTTACGATAAATTTCAATATAACAGTTTTTCTACAGTTTCTCACTTCGCCAATATTTCAATTTTTCTTTAATCCATTCTCAGGATTAAAACAAGAAAGTTTTCATTTAGCTGTAACAGCCCCAAATATTCCTTCTTCACATCTGGAGGATCTAGATATAAAGATTCACCTAGTAAATGTAAAATCCAGGTTTTCTCTCTGTCATTTAGAAAGCAGATTAGACTAAATATAATTTTCTAAAATTAGGTCAAAATATACTTAGGAAAACAAAAAACAAAAAGGAAATCTAATTCCTGAGTTGTTCTGGAAAATACTGGACAAACTTTGTACTTTATTCAATAAATATTTCCAAGCATTTAGATGTTAAATCCTGGAATACTTTTAGTGGAATTAAAAATCATCATTTATTTGTTACAGTCTTTCACAAAAGAGTTGAAATAAAGGAAAACAGGTTAAGAGCTTGATGAATGATTTTTCAAAGCACCAAGGCAATACTTATTTCCATGTAAATGCTGGCATTTAATACTAATACATATATATGGTATGCTGCTTCCTTATTTGGGGGAAAAACTGTTCTTAAAAATGAAAGCTTTATCTTATATATTTTCTTTCCCTTCAAATTAGATTTTAAACAGAAGATCCTCAAATACAATTCCTTAATTTAAACATCTGAAATACTTTTAGAGTTTCTAAAAGAGACAATAATAATTGGAAATGATTCGTTAAGAACCGCTTTTATTTTGTAGATTTTCTGCTTGGTTACAGTTGAAAAGGTTAAGATAGTCCTTGTAGAAAAGACCAGAAGTGTGGTATACTACATAAACACGCCTGTCTTATCCTGAACATTAATTTTTAGTTTAATGACTTAATAAAATAACAAAATAAGAAAAAGAAAGTAAAGAAAACATTTTCCTGGGGCGCTTGGGTGGCTTAGTTGGTTAAGTGGCTGGCTGCCTTTGGCTCAGGTCATGACCTCAGGGTCCTGGGATTTCAGGAATTTATTTTTTATTTTTTTTTTTAAGATTTTATTTATTTGAGAGAGAGAATGAGAGATAGACAGCACGAGAGGGAAGAGGGTCAGAGGGAGAAGCAGACTCCCCGCTGAGCAGGGAGCCCGATGTGGGACTCGATCCCGGGACTCGATCCCGGGACTCCAGGACCATGACCTGAGCCGAAGGCAGTCGCTTAACCAATTGAGCCACCCAGGCGCCCCGGACTTCAGGAATTTAATTTACATGTTTTGATAGTTCCCCCTTCCTTTATAAGGAAATATTTAGAAACATTACTAAAAACTGTCTTCTAAGTTCTATTCAGAATGTATATTTTATAAATGTACACTTATCTGTAAGATAAGCAAATATCTTCAATTTCATTTCACTAGAGAAACAGGGAAAACGAATATTTAAGTAAAAATTACAGTATTTACATTGGATATAAATATGCAATAAAATAAGTCTGATTCTATATAAGCTCCTTTTTTATTAAAAGATTTATTTATTTGACAGAGAGAGACACAGCGAGAGAGGGAACACAAGCAGGGGGAGTGGGAGAGGGAGAAGCAAGGCTTCCCGCGGAGCAGGGAGCCAGATGCGGGGCTCGATCCCAGGACCCTGGGACCATGACAGAAGCTGAAGGCAGATGCTTAACGACTGAGCCACCCAGGCGCCCCTCTATATAAGCTCTTTCAATAAACCCTTGATGGCATTCAACACAATTATTAAATTGCAATTATATTATTTTATTTTACTCTATTTTTAAAAAGATTTTATTTTTTTAAATGTTTATATGTAGTTTCTACACACAACATGGGGCTCGAACTCATGAGTCCCGAGATCAAGAGTTGCATGTTCCTCTGACTGAGCCAGCCAGGCACCCCACAATTATGTATTTCTTTAATACACATACATTGAAAAAGCTAGTACTTGTTTTTATAGAATCAATGTAAACATTAACAAGATTATCAATAATACTGAAAATACTTTATCAATAAAACTGAAGATATATCAGTAATATTAATACATATTAAACTGTAAAACATATCAGACTGTAGAGAATGGCCAACCTTACTTCAGCAGCACAGTTAATACTGGAGATAATTTTAGAATCTTAACGCCAATATTTACGTGCTGCTAAGGCACTGCTGACATCACTATCATAAGAGCTATGAATAAAAAGAAATATATTTTCTTCAGAAGATCAGATCCTTGTATTTTTGAGGCAGCACAATATGGCCTGCACCTTTTCAAAATCCACAAACCATTATGTGCTGCTACTTTACTCCAAGGTTTTTGTTTTTTTAAACACACATTAGCACCTAAAGATACAAAACATTTTTTTCTTTTAGAATACATTAAAAAACCCATGTTTAAAGATTATAACCGACAAAGTATGCATAATTTGCTATTTCTTAGAAGCTTTAAAGTAGCATAATAAGATTTATTTCTACATCAAATGTTTAAGAAAAGCCTACTATGTGCTAAGCACATTGCTATAGGTTAGGAACACAAAGATGTGTAATATGCAGAAAAGAAAAGCATTTCCCCCCCCCTTTGTCAACTTAATAAGCCAATACAGTTAAATATTTGATCAAAGTTTTGAATGTTATAATATATAGAAGTTATTTTTTCCTTTTATAAACAGAAAGTGAATTCATAAAATTTGGTCTTTACCTTGATAAAAGTGTTAATTTACAGACAGCATTGCATTCCTTGCAGTACACCTTTCAAAAGACCTCTTCATCAAGTAGGTAAGACTTCATGTCAAGGGAAAAATAAGAAATGATCATACAAAAGCTCGGTTTCATAAACTTAAGTGGGCAAATGCAAATATACTTTTATTTATTTATATCTATCCATCCATCCATCCATCCATTCTGCACTAGAGTGCATGCATGCCCATGAGTTGGGGGTGAGGTGGGGGGGGGGCTGAGAGGCACAGGGAGACAGAGAATCTTAATCGGGATCCATGCTCAGCATACAGCCCACAGGGTTCCATCTCACGACCCTGAGATCATGACCTTAGCCAAAATCAAGAGTCGGACACTTAACCAACTGAGCCACCCAGGTGCCCCCAAATACACTTTTAAAGGAAAAGCCAAAGGTAATTCCAGATTATGAGGCTGTGGAAAGATGAGTTAACTTTGTATTCAGATGAGAAGTAAAACCGGAATCTTGTGGCTCTTAATCTTCCTATATCCTACCTGCCTCCACTCTTCACTAGGCAAGGAAATGTACTCCTCAATAGTTTCCACTTATTCTGATGTAGGAATGCAATTACTTTTCTAAAAGATACCACAAAACTATCATCATTCTAGTTCATGCCTTGACAACCTTTGCTCCAGTTTTCTCATCATTAAAATGGCCATGCTATAGCTATGGTGTAGGTATGAAATAAGGAGATGTACAGTGAAATCTGCCCTTCCTCTCCTATCTAATTGTTTACAAAAGCACAAGTGTCCTACATTCTATATTTTTTTTTGTGAGCATCTTCCCCATTAAAAAATATATGTAGCTAATCTCCTGAGTAACCCCTGTTTCACATACTACTCTGCTCTATTACTATCTCAAATTTCTGCACAATTTTTGAGTATGTAACCAAAATAAATCTTTTTGCAATGACTGGAGAAATACACTATATTTGTATTTATCAATTAAGGAACAGTTCCTTAGGCTATCTCTCCCATAACCCCACTTTCCAAACAAAAAATGTAAACATGACATTTTCAAATATGCATAATTTATATACATACATTTCTCATTTAATAAATATCTTACTGAACACCTACTATGTGCCAAGCACTGTCTCAGTCATTACACTAGTTAGTACACTACTATATAGACACAGTCCCTTCTCAGAAAAAAATTTAACATCATTTAAATAAGATATGAAATCATTAAACAAATAACTATTCAAGTCTATATATTGTTCTTGTCCCCCACAGAATATATATACATTAAGTCATGTATACATATACATGATAATAATTAATACATGACAATTCCAAAATCAAGAAGAAATCCACTGGTCACTTCAATTTCAATCTTCTTTCTTTTTTTGCTAAGTCTGTATATTTTAAACAAAGTCAAAGGTGCCAAACTTGAAAGAAATAAACGTGAGTATTGCAAAATGAAAGTCACTTTTATAAACCTTTTTTTAAACAAGACTTCACAGTAAGAATGTCATTTATTATTTTCAAAAAATTGTGGTTATAATACACCTAACATAAATTTTACCATTTTATACAACTGTATGGCATTAAGTCCAGTTACATTGTGTAACTATCACCACATTCCATCTCCAGAACCTTTTCATCTACACCAACTGTAACGGTACCCATTAAATACGGTCCTTCATCCCCTTGGCCCCGGACACCACGATTCTACTTTCTGTCTTGATGAACTTGCCTATTTTAGGTACCTTATATAAATGGAATCATAAAATATTTATTCTTTTGAGTCTGGCTTATTTTACTTAAGATTACTTTTTCAAGGTTCATCCATGCCGTTGCATGTATCAGACTTCCCTATTTACAGCTGAGTAGTATTCAATGTGTATATATACATTTTGTTTGTCCATTTATCTATGGACATTTAAGTTGCTTTGATCTTTTGGTTATTATGATTAATTGCTGCTATAAACATGGTATGCAAATATCTGTTTGAGTCCTGCTTTCAATTCCTTTGGGTATAATCCCCAGGATCACATCACAAGGTATTTAATTCTATTTTTAATTTTTTGAAAAATTGCCATTCTGTCTCTATCATTTTACACTTCCATCAGAAATGCAAAAGGGTTCTAATTTCTCTATATCCTTGTCAACATTTTTTTCCTTTCTTTTCAAAAAGAATAGCCATCCTTATGGATGTGAAGTGGTATCTTGGTGTGGTTTTGATTTTTCATTTCCCTAATAAGTAGTCTTTTGAGCATTTTATGTTTATTGGCCATCTGTATATCTTCTTTAGTAAAATGTCTATTCAAGTCCTTTGCTCATTTTTTAACTGGGTTGTTTGATTTTGTTGTTGCTGAATTATAAAAGTTCTTTATGTATCCTGGATATAAGTCTCATATCAGATATATGATCTTCAAGCATTCTCTCCCATTCTGTAGGCTGCCTTTTCACTCTGTCGATAGTGTCTTTGATGCACAAAAGTTTTAAGTTTTGATGGAGTCCAATTTATCTTTTTGTTGTTGCTGCCTGTGGTGTACTATCCAAGAAATTGCTATCAAGTCCAATGTCATCAGGTTTTTCCAAGTTTTCTTCTAAGAGTTTTATAGTTTTAATTCTTACATTCAGGTCTTGGATCCATTTTAATTTTGTATATGGCATGAGGTTTTATTTTATATGTTGATATCCAGTTTTCCCAACTCCCTTTGTTGAAAAGACCGTCCTTTTCCCATTGAATGTTTTTTTTTTTTTTAAAGTAAGCTCTGTGCCAAACGTGGGACTTAAACTCATACCCCTGAGATCGAGAGTCACATGTTCTACCAACTGAGCGAGCTGAATGGTCTTGGCACACATATTAAAAATAATTTCATCATATATGTGAGGGTTTATTTCTAGGCCCTCTAGTCTATTCCATTGGTCTATATGTCTGTCTTTAGGCCAGTACCATACTGTTTGATTACCATGATCTTGCATTAACTTTTGAAATCAGAAGTGTGAGATTTCCAAATTTGTTTTTCAATATTGTTTTGTCCATCTGGTGTCCCTTGAGAGATTCTGTCTACATTTTAGAGCAGTTTTTCTATTTCTACAAAAATGTCACTGGGATTTTGACAGGGATTGCACTGAATCTGTAGATCACTGTGGATAATAGTCATCTTAATACCAAGACTCCTAAAACATGAACATGGGACGTCTTTCTATTTATTTGTGTCTTAAGTTTCTTTTAGCAATGTTTTGTAGTTTGCAGTGTAGAAGCCTTTCACCATTTTGGTTAATTTTATTCCTAAGCATTATAATCTTTTTGATGTCATTGAAAATGTAATTGTTTTCTTAATTTACTTTTTGGATTGTTCACTTTTATTTTTATTTATTTTTTTAAAAAGATTTTGAAAGAGAGCACATGAGAGGGGGGAGGGTCAGAGGGAGCCCGATGTGGGACTCGATCCAGGGACTCCAGGATCATGACCCGAGCTGAAGGCAGTTGCTTAACCAACTGAGCCACCCAGGTGCTCCCGATTATTCACTTTTAGTGCAAAGAAATGCCACTAATTTTTGAGTGTTGATTTTGTATCCTGCAACCTCACTGAATTTGCTCATTAGTTATAACTCTTTTTGTGTGTATGTCTGTGAACCAAGTGTTTTTCTTTTTAAGATTTATTTGACAGAGAGAGACACAACAAGAGAGGGAACACAAGCAGGGGGAGTGGGAGAGGGAGAAGCAGGTTCCCCGCTGAGCAGGGAGCCCAATGTGGGGCTCGATCCCAGTACCCTGGGATCATGACCTGAGCCGAAGGCAGACGCTTAACGACTGAGCCACCCAGGTGCCCCGAACCAAGTATTTTCTACATATAAGATCATATCATCTGTGGCCAGAAATGATTTTACCTTATAAATCTTTTATACCTAAAACTGGTTCAGAAGCTGTTTGGCAACCTTGGTCTATTCATTTTCTCATTCTTCTAGGTTTATCAGACAGGTGTCTCTCCTCTCTCTTCAAATTTCCATTATCTCTCCTTTCTTTTCTTTTTTTTTTTAAGATTTTATTTACTCATTTCAGAGAGAGAGAGTGCACAAGCATTACCTGGGGGGCAGAGGGACAGGGAGAAGCAGGCTCCCCACTGAACAGGGAGCCCAAAGTGGGGCTCGATCCCAGGACCCTGGGATCATGACCCGAGCCGAAGGCAGACGCTCAACCGACTGAGCCACCCAGGTGCCCCCCATTATCTCTCCTTTCATCCTCATTTTCACTCAGGTAACAGAAGCTATTAAAAGAGAATTTCTACTACATCTATTTACCTACATATATCTGTGCCCATATAACTCCTCCTTCTCTGTATAATGGATAAGCAATCACTGTTCGTAAGACATAAACCTCTTATATACTAGATTTTATCCTCTTGCTTACTTAAGGATATTCCTCTAGCACTCTCCCCTGCATCTTTAGTTTTTCTACTGGATCATTCTTATCAGCAAAAATGCTATAATTTCTCTCATCTTAATTTCATTTCTTAAAGATTATTGCAATTTTATCACTGATGTTTTAATAAACACCCTCAGAGGAAGATTTTTCCTATTTTTATTTCTATTTTTTTTAAGATTTTATTTATTTATTTGACAGAGAGAGACACAGCGAGAGAGGGAACAGAAGCAGGGGGAGTGGGAGAGGGAGAAGCAGGCTTCCCGCGGAGCAGGGAGCCGGATGCAGGGCTCGATCCCAGGACCCTGGGACCATGACCTGAGCCCAAGGCAGACGCTTAGTGACTGAGCCACCCAGGTGCCCCTTTATTTCTATTTTTAACTGAGATACTAAAAAAGAACTGCTTTCTATTGGAAAGCCTGATAAATTTAAGCTATTAGCAAAAGTGTCTTTCCACACTCCAGAAAAATACGGAAATTCTTGACTTAAATGTATTAATAAATTGAATAATTCCAGTGGAGCAATTGCAGCTGGATAAATCTCTTTATCTGTGTTTTTGTTTTAAGATTTATTTATTTGTCAGAGAAAGAGAGAGCGCGCAAGTGAGCACAAGCAGGGGGGAGCGGCAGGAAGAGGGAGAAGCAGGCTCTCTGCTGAGCAAGGAGCCTGA